TTCAGAATTTCAGAATCCCCTTCCCCTCCCCCATTTCTGAAGAAGGGTCTAGGCCCGAAACATCAGCCTTCCTGCTCCTCTGATGCTGCTTGGCCTGCTGTGTTCATCCAGCTCTACACCTTGTTATCTCAGATTCTTCAGCATCTGCAGTTCCTACTATTTCTGAAACAATTTTAACCACACTACGAAGCCTCTTCTAAGGATGCCTACCCTGAAGAAGTTACCCTCCTCCCTCCGGAAAAACCCCAATGGATCTCTCTCCCACTGCAACCCTCTGGTAATCTCTTCGGCCTTGAAACTGCTCGACCATGTCCTGAAGCAAACCAGGTACTACAGCCACATCACCTTTCTTAGTACCTGCCTACGGAACCAGATCATCCCCAATGGACTACAGTCCACATTCAGGCCTTCCCAATTTGGCCCCAACCGTGCACCTTTACCTGCTCCATCCCCGCCTCTTTGACCTGTCTGTCTCCTCTCTACCTATCTTCTCCTCTATCCATCTTCTATCCGCCTCCCCCTCTCTCCCTATTTATTTCAGAACCCCCTTCCCCTCCCCCATTTCTGAAGAAGGGTCTAGGCCCGAAACATCAGCCTTCCTGCTCCTCTGATGTTGCTTGGCCTGCTGTGTTCATCCAGCTCTACACCTTGTTATCTCAGAGTATGCACTCAGCTGGCTGGGTCCTAAGCACTGGATTTGTCTCTGTAAACCTCTCTGCTTCTTCCTCCTCTGTTAAGATGTTGCTTAAAACTTACCCCTTTGACTAAGCTTTTGGTCATCCGTCCCAATACCTCTGTACATGGCTGAATGTCAAATTTGTTTGATTGTGTGGATATTTTGCCGCACTTAAGACAGTAAATAAATGCAAGTTGCAATTTTTCAACATCAGTGTAAAGATTATAACAAATAGAAAAATCTAGGCCACGATGGCACTTGAAGAAGGTTGAGTATCAACTTGACTCAGATTCACTGCATTTCTTCCATGTAAACAATTTGGTTTCAATGTAAACTCACCATCAATCTCAATGTGGCTTTACACTGTCTTCTGGGTTCAAGTTTAGCTAAGAATGATAGGATTCTCACAATGATGGCTATAAAGGTCAGGTGTGAACAGCTCTAATATATTTCTTATTAGGTGCAACACAAAACTGCCCTTAATGCAGCAGAAAATTGGCCATCACACACAGAGAACTCACACGATGGATAGCACTGGGAAATAAAAGCTCCATTCTGTTGCAACAATGACATGCTTCCAAGAATAGACACGAGGCAGGTTGTGGGAACAGTACAAAGGGAGATTTTCTTTCCACAAGATAATCCCGCAGTGACTAATGTTGACTCTGGGATGGGAGGGTACTGAAATATAAAATGTTCTCCATATCCTCCCCAGACGAGCTCAGGCAAAATAGAAAAAGAATCATCTCTCTTCTGTCACCATATCATATGCAGCCTTTCAGCTAAGTGCCTTGCATTGTACCTTCCCCTAAGGCTACATTAACTGAAACATCAGTGTGCGATGTGTGGTACTAGATTGCCAGTTCAGTGTGGGAAACACTCTTTAGAACCTGATCCAGTATGTCCAGCACTACAGCAGGGGAGGAAGGAGACTATTGGAGAGCAAGAAATCAGCGTTATCTCAACAGATCCACATGTTAGGAAAGATATTACAGACCCTCGCTTTGCTGCTGTGAGGTATCAAAAGAAAAAAACTGAAGGACACACGTACAAGCCTTGCAACTGAGCACTCGGACATTTTTAGTGAATGTAAGAAAAAGCTGGATGCATCTTAGCAAACATGATGAGGAACATGTCCTGGAGTGCTTTACGTTTACAATAGGTCAGGTATCTCAAAGAGGTTACAGCAGGCACGTCCAAATGTTTTGTATTTTAGTGCTGTGCAGTTCCTCAAGATATAAACACTAACCATCTCTCAGGATTAATCATGTAATTAAAACACAGTTAGGGTCTTGCTACAAATGAATGCAAGAACAAAATACTGGAAATCCGTAACGAAGACAGAAAATGTTTAAAACGTTAAGCGGGTCTGGCAGCTTCTGTGCAGACAGAAATAGAGTCTATGGGTGGACTTTTCCAATTCTGGCCAGAGAGGTGGTGACGATGGGAAATTATTGAGCCCTGGTGAAATACTCGCCACCTTCTCATCACCTCACCAATTATGCTCATGGTGAGAAGGTCCATTGGGCAGTTTCTCGATCCACCAGCAATTAAGGCCTTTAAGTCGGAAATAAATGGGCAACTAATGGCCTTACTGCACTAATTAGCTGCTTTCCTGGAGGGCAAACATGTTGGCCAGCGTTCCCTGACATCGCAGGGAATGCTCCGTGGGTTATGACCATCCACTGATGTCAGCACCAGACAGGCACTAGCTTCACCACATCATCAGGTACATCTCAGATGAACTTATACTCCAGTACAAACACCTCACCATTGCAATCTGGAATACAGTGAGACCTTACATTGCAGTGCTGCTGCCAGGGCCCTTTGTAGGCAGGGACAGGCACCCACCTCATGCGTCAGAACAGGGTGCATTTTTGCAGTTTTTGCTCACTTCCTCAGCACTCACCCACTTTGTGTTTACTTGGAAGTTCACAGTAACTCTGCTGTGCCTTTCTGCAAAGGCTGGAGGCCAGGCAGCTTGCCATGCTTGTGAGAAACTGAATTGTCATGTTGGTATACAGCATGTAGCATTGTGCCATATCAATGCCACGCATGTGGCATATAGTAGCATCGTATCCATTAGACAGAACACATGCTTCCACTAAATAGCCATTTCTGAAAGTCTGAGGGGAGTCATCCTTAGCTTAGTCAAAGGGGGCTATAGTCAGTCAGGGTTCTGCTCCACCCCCATTCAGGAAAGATGGTGAAGTGAGTGAGTTGGAAACACTGAGAGCATATAGGGTGAGTAGCATGGGATTTTGGGGTAGGTGAGAGCCATTGACTTTAAGATTCTAAGATGTGACAGCAAAGTTAGGTTATTCAGCCCATCAGGTATGCTCCACCATTTCATAAGATCATGACTGATTTGATAATCGTCAATTCTACTTTCTGGCCCTTTCCCCATAACCCTTGATTCCCATACTGATTAAAAATCCATCTCAGCCTTGAATAAACTTAACTACTCAGCCTCAACAGCCTTCTCCGGTAAGGAATTCCACAGATTCACTACCATCTGAAAGAAGAAATTCCTCCTAATTTCTGTCCTAACTGCCCAACCTCTTACTCTGTGATGATGCCCTCTGGTCCTAGACTCTCCCACAAGGGGAAACAACCCCTTCACATCCACCTTGTCAAGTCCCATACCCATTCTCCTTACTTGGTCTCATCTACGTGTGATTCCAGACCCTCAACAACATGGCTGACTCCAGGCAATAAAAGATGGACAATAAATGTTGATCCAGCCAATGAAATCCAAGGACAAATAAAAGTTACATTTTTCAGGAAATGAGGGTTAAACACTGCAATCCAGTAACATACAACCAAACCCATAAGCCTTAGGGGAAATCCTACACTAATAAGTTCACTTCAAAATCTCCCCTCCCCCTACTGCATCCCAAAACCAGCCCAGCTCGTCCCCGCTTCCCTAACCTGTCCTTCCTCCCACCTATCCCCTCCTCCCACCTCAAGCCCCATCTCCATCTCCTACCTACTAACCTCATCCCGCCCCCTTGACCTGTCCGTCCTCCCTGGACTGACCTATCTCCTCCCTACCTCCCCACCTATACTCACCTTTACTGGCTCTATCCCCGCCTCTTTGACCTGTCTGTCTCCTCTCCACCTATCTTCTCCTCTATCCATCTTCTATCCGCCTCCCCCTCTCTCTCTATTTATTTCAGAACTCCTTGCCCCTCCCCCATTTCTGGAGAAGGGTCTAGGCCCGAAACATCAGCCTTCCTGCTCCTCTGATGCTGCTTGGCCTGCTGTGTTCATCCAGCTCTACACCTTGTTATCACTAATAAGCAACACATCGTTTCCTGATAATGACTTTAGAAATTAAATCTGATAATTATGGGATGTTAATTGTACATTTTTACAACATTTATGCTTCCCCTAAATATTTGATGGCAGGAGCATTCTTTACAGGATTTAGCTGCAGAATTAAATTCTGCGATAACATCCTGTATAGTTCCTGTCAGAGTATGGGTGCCAATTGGAACTTAATCTGGATGGAGTATGAGATTCTCTCTCACTGTCCTAATTCCTGTAACTGGTATCCTGCAAGAGGAAGTCATTGTTCAGCACAGTAAACTCTACACTTCCTATCTTTCCCCCACTCCACAGTCAACGGTTCTGACGTCCAAAAATAACTGCAGCATCATCAAACCCGAGGCACAATGCCAGACTGCACACAGAACAGACTCCAAGCAATGCTGCTCAAGGACAGACCTGGTTTATGATATCGAGCTGCTGCTCCTCAGGGACTCCAGGCAGAATTGTGAAGTTGCTAAAAAGTGAAAAATTATGCATAGGCAGCAGTTTAACTTCCTTTTAGTTGTTCTCAGAACATGGGTAGTGTCAGCTTATACTGCTGATGCCCAGTTACTCTCGGAGGTGGTGATTCTGCTTCTAAGACCAAGTGGCTTGCTTGGCCAGTTCAGTGAGCAGTTGGTCATAGAATCCCTACAGTATGGAAAGAGGCCATTCAACTCATTGAGTCAGTACCAACCCTCCAAACAGCATCCCACCCAAATGCCCCACCACTTCACCCTGCATTTTCCATGCTAATTCACCCAGCTAGGGCATCCCTGGACATTATGGGTAATTTTAGCATGGCCATTCCAACTAACCTGCACATCATAGGGCTGTGGAAGGAAACCCCCACAGACACGGGGAGATTGTACAAACTCCACACAGACAGTCAACCAAGATCAGAACCGAGCCTAGGTCCCTGGTGCTGTAAGGTAGCAACACTAACCACTAAGCCACTGTGCCATCCCAGTGTGGGTGTGCGTGTGCGTGTGGGTGTGCGTGTGCGTGTGGGTGTGGGTGTGGATATGGGTGTGGGTGTGGATATGGGTGTTGGTGTGGGTGTGGGTGTGGGTGTGCGTGTGGGTGTGGGTGTGGGTGAGGATATGAGTGTTGGTGTGGGTGTGGGTGTGAGTGTGGATATGGGTGTTGGTGTGGGTGTGCGTGTGGGTGTGGGTGTGGGTGTGGATATGGGTGTGGGTGTGGATACGGGTGTGGATATGGGTGTGGGTGTGGGACTCAGGTCCCATGTAATACAAGTGAAATATCTTAAGGTGAACTGGTTAAGTCAATCTGACAGTTTCATAGTCACTTACAATGATGCCAGCATTTCAATATCAGAGTTCTAAAAATGTCAAACTGACATAGCAGGATTTCAAGTCATCTTTGCTCGATCGCTGTGAGAGACGATGTTATGAAGTCAGACTTTATATATACATTCCCCAACAGAAGTTTCTTTTAAGATCTCATGGCTCTATATAATAAAAATGCAGGGAATTTATCCCGGTCTCTTGGCTAACATTCATTTCTCAAGTAGCATTGCAAAATCATGATTTGGTCATTACAGTGAGGTTGATGGGAGGTTGCTTTCCTCAGGTGGGCTGCTGCATTTCCCACGTTACGACAGTGATGACACTTCAGAAGGACTTAAGTGGCAGTGAAGCACATGGTGGGAGAGAAGTGTCCAGAGGTAATAAATGGTAGTATCGAAATGTAATTTATATATGTTCTTTAGACAGCGCCTTGCAAACCCACAACCACTACCACTTCGAAGGACAAGAGGAGCAGATATATATCGGAACACCACCACCTGCAAGTTCCCATCCAAACCATTCACCGTCCTGACTTGGAAGCATATCACCATTCCTTCACTGTCTCTGGGTCAAAATCCTGGAATTCCCTCCCTAATATCACCGTGGGTCTAGCTACAGCACATGGACTGCAGTAGGTTCAAGAAGGCAGCTCACCACCACCTTCTTAAGGGCAATTAGGGACTGGCAATATATGCTGGCTCAGTCAAGGACATCCAAATACCATGAATCAATAAAGAGGAAAAAGTTATTTTTGTTTTTAGTTGAGTAACGTAACCACTATGGTGCTATGTGCTTGTTTTAGAATGGCCTAGTGAATTTTACTTACATAAGTACCTTGATGGGTATGTGTCCTTTTAATGATATTTCTATATTTTAATTCTACGTATCTGTTTTATCAATCATGGCTGAGAAACTGAAAAGGGAATGAAAACACAGTAACATAAGCTTTCATTTTTCGGTGTTATCAGATATAAATGCCAAATCATTGCAGAATACTCAAAGCTTACCCTGGCAATTTCAGCATACGCTAGTCCCAGGATCCCCTCCCAGTTGGAACCATTGATGAAGAATTTGTCCGACTCGGTGATGGCAGCAATGTTTGCTCTGACTGAGACATTCGGACCGTGTGGAACACAGACGATATCTGTCCCGAGCTCCCCTTCCCATTTCCCCTGGGTGTATGGCACGTAGACACTCTTCCTCAGGTCCCGGTAAGTATTGGAGCTGAAACACAAAGTAATTTGTGGAAACTGTAAAGCTAAGTACACATGTTAAGGGAGGGCAAAAAAATAAGGGACGAGATTTGGAGTGTTAATACGTTCAACACCAACGTTATAAATGTTCACAGAATTCTCGGGTTCTCTCTATTAACACCTGGAAGGCCTGAGTGTGCTTTAAACAATAGGCTTGACACAATAAGGCAAAAACCTCCCAATTTCTTAATTTTCTGACTTTTAAGTAACTATTCTCCCATTTTCGGAGGTATGTAGAAAGCTCACTTGAAAGCTTCAGTGGTACCCATAAAATGAAGTGAAGTTACCATAGTTCTACCCTCTCATTGAGACAGACAGACAGCTGGTAATGAGTTTAACCTGAGGGTCAACATACCTCAGGCAAGGAAAGAGGTTGAGAAAGAGAAACCTTCATAGAAACCTCAGCATGTGAAGGGATTGAACCCATCCTGTTAGCATTACTCTGCCAACTCTCCAGCCAACTAAGTTAATTGATCCCCTGTCTCAGATATTAGGCTCAGGGATGACTCAGTTTTCAAACTGCCTTCATGCCCATCCTTCCTAACCTATTGTGCACCAGCCATCCTTATGCTCTCTCCCATTCTCAATGGACAATTACTTGACAATTAAAGGCCATGTTAGTCATAAGAACATAAGAACATAAGAACTAGGAGCAGGAGTAGGCCGTCCGGCCCTTCGAGCCTGCTCCGCCATTCAATAAGATCATGGCTGATCTTTTCGTGGACTCAGATCAACTTACCCGTGTTCTCACCGTATTCCTTAATTCCTTTATTGTTCAAAAAAAATCTACCTTATCTTTAAAAACGTTTACTGAAGTAGCGTCAACTACTTCACTGGGCAAGGAATTCCATAGATTAACAACCCTTTGGTGAAGAAGTTCCTTCTCAATTCAGTCCTAAATCTGTTCCCTCTAATCTTGAGGCTATGCCCTCTTGTCCTAGCTTCACCTGCCAGTGGAAACATCCTCTCTACTTCTATCTTATCTAGTCCCTTCATAATTTTATATGTTTCTATAAGATCCCCCCTCAATCTTCTGAATTCCAATGAATATAATCCCAATCTACTCAGTCTCTCCTCATAAGCCAACCTCCTCAACTCTGGAATCAACCTAGTGAACCTCCCTTGCACCCCCTCCAGTGTGGGTGATAGTCAACCACTATCAGCATGGCTTCCCTTCTGGAAATCCATTTATGTAGGAGCTTTTGAGATAGCAGAGACCCAAGATTTTTGTTCCTTCAGTGAGGGTTGGATTTAAAAATAGGTCCTATAGATGAAATGTTAATCAGGTTTCAATAGCCTTTTAGCTCAAATGTGACCCTCGCCAACAGTGTCAAATTGTGTTTTGTTTCAACTCTTCAAATTATAGCAAACTGCTCATTTGGACCCCTGAATATGCTACATTTCTTTGCATACAAACTTTTCCAACTGTTTGTCCAAGTGTTATCAGAAGCAAAATGTCAGGACATTAACAAATTTGATTATTCAGACTCCTGGTGTGTTTAAATAACAACTGAGAGAGCTACTGATGCTGTAAATCAGGAACAAAAACAGAAGTTGCTGGAAAAGCTCAGCAGGTCTGGCAGCATCTATGGAGAAACATCAGAGTTAATGTTTCGGGTCCGGTGATCCTATCCGAGGTAACGTCACCAGACCCAAAACATTAACTCTGATATTTCTTCACAAATGCTGCCAGACTTGCTGAGCTTTTCCAGCAACTTCTGTTTTTGTTCCTCTTGTATTTATGCTGGCACATTCCCTGTAGGCCGGAGTCAACTCCTAATTCAGTCAACAATTGGTTTTGGAAAGAGCATTGTCACTGTCCTTCTAGTTTTCTTCCCTTCCTCCTTCTTTGAAAAGACAGCTCACATTGATGTAAACATTCTGGCTAGTGGAAGCTCTCCAAAGGCTTATACAATATTCGGGGAGATGATGGCATAGTGGTGTCGAGCTATACAGGATAATACTCTGGAGACATGGGCTCATATAAGTTCATAGGAACAGCAGTAGGCCATTCAACCCCTCTGCTCTGCTAATCTGTGGCTTAACTCAATTTGCCTGCCTTGGGCCCATATCCCTTCATAATCTTGCTTAATAAAAATATGTCTATCTCAGATTTAAACTTAACAATTGAATTAGCACCACCCGCCATCTGAGGAAGAGAGTTCCAAACCTCTTTGCATATGAAAGTGCTTTCTAACATCTGTCCTGAATGGCCTGTCTGTAATTCTTAGACTATGTCCCCGGTTCTAGAATCTTCAGCCAGTGGAAGTAGTTTATCATTATCTACCCTGTCTTTCCGTGTTAATAACCTGAAAACATTGATTAGATCACTCCTTAACATTCTAAATTCTAGAGAATAAAGGCCTAAATTGTCTAATCTCTCCTCATAACTTAACACTTACCATCTTATAAACCTGTGATGAACTTCCTCAAGGACTAAAACACCCTTTCTAAGGGGTGGTGCACAGATCTGCTCACAGTACTCTAACTGGGGCCCAACTAGGATTTTGTATAACTGCAGCATAATGTCTGCATTCTTATACTCCGATCCTTTATATATGAAGACTAGCATTCCATTAGCTTTCTGGACTATTCTCTGCACGTTTTTAGTGGCATTTCAAACAGCAATGCACCTGAACCCACAAATCTTATTGGACATCCAATGGATGCAACTTTGTGCCTTCCAAAATATACCCTGATCTATGCTTTCTCACCTGATCTATGTTTTCTCAGTCTGAAATGGATAACCACATACTTGCTTATTTTAAAATCTGTCTGCTGCAGCTTTGCCCATTCATCCAATCTATCAATATCCGAAATAAAAGCCGAAAGAACTGCAGATGCTGTAAATCAGGAACAAAGACAGAAGTTGCTGGAAAAGCTCAGTGAGTCTGGCAGCATCTGTGAAGAAAAATCAGAGCTAACGTTTTGGGTCTGTTGACCCTTCCTCAGAACTGTTGGTAGCTAGGAAAATGTTTGTTTATATGCAGAAGATAAGGTGGAGGGAGGGGGTAAGGAGTAAATGATAGGTAGGGATAGAGCCCAAAGATAGAGAAGAACAGTTGGGCAGACAAAAGAGTTGATAATGATCTGGCTAGAAGGGTGAATAGCTGTTAGTGGAGAATATCCTGTTGTAATTTTATGCTGTCATCAACACTGTGTATAATACTGCCCAATTTTGTGTTGTCAACAGATTTGGATATGTGATTTTTTTATGCCATTAGTGAATATTGTGAATAATTGAGGGCCCAAAACAGATCTCTGTGGGGTACCGCTAGTCAGGTCCTGCAAATTTGAGTACTTACTCATTATTTCAAATCTCTGGTGCCTGCCACTCAACCAATTTCCTATCCATGTCAGTAATTTGCCCTCAATTCCATGGGCTTCCATCTTAACTAACAGTCTCTTGTGTGGGACTTTCTCAAAAATCTTCTGGAAGTCCATATAAACAAGATCCAATGACTTACCTCTGTCCACTACCTTTGTCACCTCTTCAAAAAACCCTTACGAAGCTTGTCAGGCATGACCAACCCTTTATGAATTCATGCCGACTCTCCCTAATAAATTGATAGCTGGTGGAATTTAAACTTTATCAATAAAATCTGAAATATAAACCTAGTCTCAGTGACTGTGATGATGTTGATTGCTGTAGAAAACTATCTGGCTCACAAATGGTTTATAGGGAAGGAAATTTGCTGTTCTTACCAGGACTAGCCTATGTAACTCCACACATATCTCAATTGGGTTCACTCTTAATTGCCCTCTGAAGTAGCCTCACAATCACTCGATTCAAGGGCAATTAGGAAGAGCAATAAATGTTGCCAGTGACTAATGTTGCACGAAAAGAATATTTACAAACTTTCCCAAATACGTCTTGCCCCTGGGACACTTGGTGGTGGGCAGCTTCACACCTAAATTACCTTTTCTCCTCATCTAACTTACTGTTATAGAGTCATAGAGATGTACAGCACAGAAACAGACCCTTCGGTCCAACTTGTCCATGCTGGCCACATATCCTAATCTAGTCTCATTTGCCTGCATTCGGACAATATCCCTCTAAACCCTTCCTATTCATGTACCCATCCAGATGCCTCTTAAATATCGTAAATGTACCAGCCTCCACCACTTCCTCTGGTAGCTCATTCCATACACGCACTACCCTCTGTGTGAAAAATCTGCCCTTCAGGTCCCTTTTAAATCTTTCCCCTCTCACTTTAAACCTATGCCCTCTAGGCTTGGGCTCCCATGCCCTGGGAAAAAGACCTTGACTGTTCACTCTATCCATGCCCCTCATGATTTTATAAACCTCTATAAGGTCACCCCTCAGCCTCTGATGCTCCAGGGAAAACAGCCCCAGCCTATTCAGACTCTCCCTATAGCCCAAACTTTCCAACACCAGCATCGTCCTTGTAAATCTTTTCTGAACTCTTTCATATTTAACAATGTCTTTCCTATAGCTGATCCTCCCTAGTCCAAAGGTACCGAGGTCAAATTAATGTGCCCAAGCCTTGCTGCTGCCAACTCACACAGCAAAGGGCAAAGTTTGGGTCTTCTGGATACATATGGCTCAATGACATGGCACTTAACCACAAAACCATTTGAAGCTGAGCTTCACATTTTACTTTTAGAATCACAGAATGATTAAGGTGCAGAAGGAGACCATTCAGCCCATTGTGCCTACACAGGTCCATTATCTAGTGCCAATCTCCTGCCTTATCCCCATGTCCCTGCACACGTTTCTCTTTAAAGAAAGATCCAACGTCCTTTTGAACGCCTCAACTGAACCTGCCTCCACCACATTTGCAGGCAGCGCATGTCAGACCCCGACAAAGTGCTGTGTGAGAATGATGTTCTCATATCACCCTCCAGTTTAGAAGCACAGAATTTTGCAACACGGGAGTCTCTTGACCCCTCGTGAGCTTGTTAGGTCTCTGAAAAAGGTTAGTCCCACTTTCCTGCCTTTTAACAATT